TTTGATTCTGATTATTCTCCCGAAGATATTATGTCTCTACACTATGTTTAAAGGAATAAATAGTCATTGTTTGTACAGCAAAAACTATACAAGATAAAAGTTGTTATTTCGACCGGTGTATATTAAAACACAAAATCATTTAAATTATATTTAGTTTTAGTCAGTTGTCTAACTCATACATATAAACATTGTAATAGTAATTATAATTACATTTAATAAATTTTAATATTAACCTTTTCAGATATGAAAGGTAAGTTTATTTTGAATATAATATTTATCATATCAAGAAAAATTAGTTTACCTAGTTTGATTTAAAATATTTAAAAATTATGATTGGGAGGGATGAATTTTAATTAGTTTATATGATTAATATTTGAGTTATTATTTACATACAAAATAACAGTTTGAAAACATTTGATAAAAACTATCATCACTTTCAGTAATACTAGTGCTACTCATAATAGCCATCAATACTACACCTAATTTGTGTCAAGTGGTGGTCACTACACCCGCAATAGTTACCGCTACCAATGTAGGACCTCCCACAACTGGACCACCACTAACCGGAACTCCTGGTCTCGGTGCTGCTGCCCCAACTACTCCTGGACTTGCACCTGGAGCAGCACCAGTACCTGGCACTCAACTAGCACCAGCCCCTGGAGCTGCACCAGTAATTGGTATACAACCAGAACCGGGAGCGGCACCAGTACCTGGCTCTCAAGCAACTCCTGTATCAGCACCCAGCCCGCAAGTAGGCGCACCTCCCGGACCAGCAGCACCTCCAACACCGGCACCACCTGCACAGCCAGCCCCCGGGCAGTCCCAACCCACTGTAAGTGGGTCATCAGTAGTACCCCCGGCGCAATTCCCACCAGGCCCAGTCCCACCAATTGATGTAGTTGGTATATTTGGCAACATATTTACCGTGAGCACCCAGGTAGTCCAGTTCATTGACTGTATTGGCTATAAGGTGGCGCTCGCCTGTCAGAAGGAGATCCTTAAATGCCTTAAACGCAATAAGATAGGCACCTGTATGGCAGCCGTCACCTGTAAGGGCTTGAATACCAATGTTTGCCTACATATGCTAATGGGGTTAACCTATGGCATACCCGGTGCTCTCAGGACCCCTTAAATAAATAATTTGTATTGAGTAAGGTGGTTCAAAATTCCATGTAATTCATTATGTTCACTTTTTATAATTAATTATTTTTTATTTACACTGATTTTAATGATTATTTTGCACATTAAATACTTAATATTTTTATTATGTACTGTATTAATTAATTATTATTTGACACACTGATGTAGCAATGTAATAATATTATTTTTAAATAAATTTATATCTAGCATAAAATCTTGCTTGCTTATAAATCATTCATAAAACTATTGAAATATGGGTATTACAAAATTAATAGGTAAATATTTGGGTAAACAAAAAAAAATATTATATTTTATTTAACGAAATACGTCCGGCTAATAAAAACCAAAAATCTTAATTTAACATTATAAGGTAAAATAAATTAAATTATTGATATTAAGTGACAGTTTATTAGATTAATAATTAATTATTAATTACTTTTAATATTTTAATAAGTGGGATAAAATTAATTGTATTAGTGACAAATTAAAAGTTAAAAATTAATTCATTTTTGTATTAATAAATATACAGCTTATTTGTTAGTAAATTACAGGCAAAAGATTTAAGGTGGTGCAATGTTACATAATATGTATATTATACTGTAGAGTTGCCAAATTAATTACCATGGGTCTTATTTTATAGATAATCTAATTACTGTATTTATAAATATTAAAGATTTTGTATATTTTCGCCAAATTTTATTTAATTGATGTAATTTAATTAATCAACTAATAAAATAATGATAATTTATGTGCATGATAAATATAAACAAGCTCAGGAGATTTTCAAATATAAAATGTATGTTAATCTTTAATTAAATTTTTAAAAATTAATATAAATTATAGTTTTATTGATTATAATTAATGTTTAAATATAAATTTTAGCATCTAAATTTAAGATATTTTGATAATTTAATTATTATTTATAATAATATCATCATGGTTAGTTATTAATCCTAAATTAAAAATAACCTCTACAATTAATCTATTTACTATACAACTTTACGCAAAATATATTTATTTAATAATAACCGGGAATAAAGCACCCATTATATTATATTTTTAATATACAGTACGGTTCAAGATTTCTGTTACGACTTTGAACTTAATTTTTTAAAAAGTTATTTAATTAAACGCATTGAAAACAACACCAAACTGTAGCTTATTTATCAAACTTTCATTTGATATGCTATTTGACAACATAAACACAAAAATAAAATTATTTTCGACAGTTTTTGTAAATCACCTCTCTATAAAGGTTTCCATACAAAATTTTTCAATTTTATATTTTATAGTTATTTATATAGTTATTTATGTATATTTTATAATAGTGTTTAGTCGAAATCTCGATAACATTATCTAAATACGTATTAAAACTACATTTTAAAACAATAAGAAGTGATATAAGTGCTATAAATCAAACATAAATCAAATTTAAAGTTTAATGAAAATAAGAAATTTTCCATTAATATAATTGGAATAATATAATTAGTATAATTGTAATATTAATACTTTTAAATAAATTATATCTAGAAAATTAATAATTTTTTTATTTTAAAAACCTAATAAATTGCACTGATCTTGATTAAATTGTAAACTTTCCTGCTTAACATCATTCAAAAACTATTGATTTAAGGATAATGAATAAAAAACTAAAATTATTTCTTTGAAACGGTTCTACCCCAAAAGACCTAAAACCGAAAAGACCTAAACTAAAATAACTAACTGACCAGTGGTCGTATTTTAAATTTGATGAGTGGAATAGATTTATCCTAACCTCACCTAACCTACCCTAACCTAAATTAAGTCAAATGACCACTGGTTAGTAAGTTATTTGAGTTTAGGTCTTTTCAGTTTTAGGTCTTTTAGGTGAGTCCCCTTTGAAACACAAGACAAATAAGTTTTAAAAAACAGTTTCCCATTCTGTACGCCATAATAGTTTCTATCAAGAGCGTCATTAATATATTGTTTGTCTCTCACACTCACATCCCGTTCCCTAATCTGAGTCTCAATTCTGTCAATACTATCCAATATGTCATCAAATTCTGAATCATTTAACAGAATCTCCGTATCGATAGACCACTCGTTATATTTAGCCAACACTTCCGCACATTCCGGTCTATTATGCCATTTATGGTCCAACATGTCTTCTAAAAGTTTTTTCAACAAATATACTGGCTCATTTAATTTTGTATTTATAGTTGAGTATCGAAAGTCACTGAAATATACAAAATAAATTTTCATATATATACATATTTAATATCTAAAAAATAATACTGTATATACCTGTCCCGATCTTTAAACACATCAATCTCGAATATGTCGCTAACTACCAGGGCCAAGCTATATATATCAGATTTATGATCATATTTTTTACTTGATGCTACTTCCGGTGCGATATACTCAATGGTCCCCACGTCTGCGGTGGGTTTATATGTAGTTATATAATGAACGCTATTATCGTGTTCTGTAACTAAACCGAAATCACATAACTTTATGAATCGTCCGTTCAGTATATTGTCGGCGATTAATATATTGTCGGGTTTGAGGTCTCTGTGAATGAAATTATTTTCATGCAAATACTGAACACATTCTAAGATCTCTTTAAATATTTCACACAAAATGATGTATTCGTATGAATTCATGGATTCATTTTTCAATCGTTTGAAGACTTGTGGTTTGATTTCCAGAATATTTGTCAGATTCTGTGAACACATCTCAAACTGAATGTAAACTTTATTTAATTCTTTCCACGAATCGAAACACTTGACAACATATTGGGGGTCAACTCGACTTAAATATTGTACTTCTCTATAAATATTGTTTTGTTTGTCATTTAATCCTAAAATATTTCAAAAAATAATTTTAATAATTAAGAATAATTCCTAAATTTATATTTTACCATCAAGGTCAATAATTTTAACAGCATACACTTCATTTGACAATTTATGTTCCACTTTTGTAACAACACCAAACCCTCCAGATCCAATGGTGGACAATATTTGAAATGCTTTTGAGTAATGTCCATTGTTCAATTTATAAAATAAATTATTTATAAAATAATTTTTGAAGAATGGTTTCCCATTCTGTACGCCATAATAATCATCATTAAGTGTGCGATCGATATATCGTTTATCTCTTTCACTCTCATCTCTACATCTAATTTGTGTTTCAATCGCATCAATACTATCTAATGTGTCACGAAATTTGGGATCATTTGCTACAATATTTTTATCGATAGACCACTCGTTATATTTAGCCAACACTTCACGACAGTCCGGCCTTTTATTCCAGAGCCTGATCAGCATTTTATTCAACATTTCAATCAGATTATAAACAGGGCCATTTAAATTGTTATGAATAGTTGAATATTTATGATCACTAAAACATTTGAAGAATAATTTACAATTTTAATTTAAAATGAATTTAAAATTCATAAATTAATAAGTTACTTTTCTATATCGGTAAAAACGTCCAAGCTGAATATATCGCCACCAATGAGTGCCAACCCCCAGATATCGGATGTATGATCGTACTTTTTACCATGAGCAACTTCAGGCGCCCTGTATTTAGTGGTTCCTACGTTTATTGAATGCTTATTATCTGTCAAGTTATGGATTCTGCTGTTGTGTTCTGTAACTAAACCGAAATCACATAACTTTACGAATCGTCCGTTCAGTATATTGTCGGCGATTAATATATTGTCGGGTTTGAGGTCTCTGTGAATATATCCCAATTCATGTAAATATTTAACACATTCTAAAACTTCTCTAAATATTTCACACGAAATGAAATATTCGTATGAATTCATGGTTTCGTTTGGCAATCGTTTGAATACTTGTGGTTTTATCTGAAGAATATTTGTTAAATTTTGTGAACACATCTCGAGCTGAATGTAAACGATATCCGATTCTCTCCACGAATCGAAATACTGAGCAACAAATTGGGGGTCAACTCGACTTAAATACTCCACTTCCTTAAAGATATCCCTTTTTTGTTTGTCATTTAAACCTAGATATATTTTATATTATATAAGATAAAGGTACACAATGCTAATATAAATATGTTTACCATTTTCTTTAAATGTAATCATTTTAACCGCATATTCTTGATTGTCCATTTTATTTTGAACTTTTAAAACACTGCCAAATCCTCCTGATCCAATGGTATTTAATTTTTTAAATGTTTCATTAAAATAATTATCTCTTAATTTGATTATATACATTTCATCAGTATCAATTTCTAATTTATATGTTAAGAATTGATAGAAAAATTGCAAATCATTTGACTTTAAACTATTTAATTTCGATTGTAAATCCTTATGTTTTAAAAGAATATTCTTATCAATAGACCATTCGTTATATTTTTGCAATATTTCGCTACAATTAGGCCTTTTATCCCAATTTAAAATCCACATTATATCTAATATAGTTTTCAATTGTAATATTCATTCGGAAACCACATTATCATTAGTATCATATGGTTTGTTTCTATAAATAAAATATAATCTTTAATAATTTCTAATAATTTATATGATATGTCACTAACTTTTCTAAATCATCATGTAAATCCACATCGAATATCTCTGCCCCAATTAATGCCAATATATAAATGTCAGATTTATGAGTATAATCCTTGCCAATCGTTACTTCAGGCGCCATATACATTGTGTTTCCAACATCTGCCGTATGCGGCTTTCTAGTATTTTCGCCCGTATCATGGTGTTCCGTAGCAAATATAAAGTTACTTAACTTAATGAATCTGCCATTAATCATATTCTTTGTGATCAATAAATTATCGGGGGTGATATTTCTGTGAATTATTTGTGGATTCAATTCATGCAAATACTGAACGCATTCTAAGATTTCTTTAAATATTTCGCATGAAATGAAGTACTCGTATAAATCCATTGGCTCTTCGGGACGTCGCATAAATATCTGCCGTTTATGATCCAATATATTGCGGAGGTTTTGTGAGCAGAGCTCCATTTGAATTGATAGCGTGTTATCGACGAGCCAACTATCGTAGTATACGACCACATATTGTGACTGTAGTTCACGTAATTTTTTTACCCCACTGTACGCCATTTTAATTTCCAAACCACTAAAATCTTATATATATATATATAATATATAAGGTCAGATATATCATTGTATTGTAAACTTAATAAAATGTTCACCTTTTAAGTCATATTGTTCAACAGCGTATAATTTGTGGTCAGTTTTATGGCTCATTAGATATACCGTTGCATAGCCACTCTCACTCAACTTTGATACAATTTCAAATTGGTTTTATTTTAAACCTTGATCAAATTGGCGCAGCAATTGTGCCGCCCGATTCTGACCCACCTTATCAAATATATCTGCCAACTGTTGCCTGTGTTGGCGTTGTTGGGAGAACTGCCACAATAACTGACGCTTTTTTCTCGATGTATCATTTATAATCTAAAATATTTTTAATAAATTATTATACATAATTATACATAGTTCTTATATACAGTATGTATTAATTAAACTAATAAATAACAAAGGAGCCTGTTCAATGGGTAGGTTAAGTTGCCTAAGCTGGCAATCGGGATCTTTTGGTTGGATATGAAGGAACATTCAATGCTGAGTCCGAATATATAATTTATATTGTCCTGTGACCTCGGGTTCGACCGCAGTGACCACTTTTATAGAGAAACGTTTTTAAGGAAATATTAACATATAATATATTAAATCAGTGTAGAATCTAACGTAGAATAAGAATATCTTACTCAAGATATTTTAGACAAGTTTTAAAAAGAAATCTGTTAATAAATTATAAATTCAAGGTTTTGCAAAAATAAAAAAAGATAACTGCACACCCACCCATCCCACATGAAATCATCACCCACCCACTGTCCTCAACAATCCACCACTAGCCCCCTCAAAACACCCCTACCAAAGTCTAATGTCACATGTTATTGTTGCTCTTGTCCGCCCAATTCCACGCACACATCATTTAAGAATGCGGTGGGGATTGGGATCTCGGATTGGTGCCTTCCAAATCCGAGAAACCACAGAACTGTGGCCACATTAGCACAACAACCCACAGTTCTGAGGCCATTAGGACAAGAGAAACAATAACCAGATACAGCGTCGACACCTTCCTTCTCCTCATCGGCAAGAATTAGCTTGTCGATGAGGATATTGATAAAATATCTAGTTGAAGAACGGTGTCGAGACTTATTCGCCCTCGTATCAACATTGGGTCATCAATTGAGAGGCCATGAGAGCTAAGTGGAAGAGGTTCTGCGTGTTTACATACCTTTTATTGATTTTTTATTAATTTCTCATTTTATATCAATTGATGGCATGAAGCATCAATAATAAATATATATAATTTTCATCCATAAATTACGTCGATTTAATCAATAAAATAGGGATTTTTAATTATTAAAATAATTATTTCTATCTATATTTTATTAAATATTAGTTTTATATTATTTTGAGTAAGATATTCTTATTCTACGTTAAATTCTACATTGATTAGTACTTAAATTCCCTCTAGGACTTATAGTTTTTGCTCTAGACCAGGTACCAGTCCCCATACCAGCCCTTTACAGTAACATATCTGTGTCTTCGGGAAAAGAAAGACCATTAAAAAACGAAAAAAGTATATTTTTAAATTATTTTTATTTAATCTAGTTTACAAGTTAATTCCAGTGCGAGTACTTTTCGAACAACTCTTTACATTCCACTGGTATTACTGTATATAACAATTCTGTTATTTATAAAATAACAATATAATATGAACAAACTTAACACTTTCACATGGCAAAAGTAAAAGTGAGTCATGACTCTAATGAACAAATAATTAATTGAAAATTTTATAATTAGTACCACAATCAAGAAAAGATACGGGTTCATGAAAATAAAATGAACACAGATTTTGGTCCAGAAACAAATTAACCAAGTCCATGTAAACCCACCCACATATTTTGTGTCAGTCATGTGCTGTGTTGTAAAATGCGGTATTTCTTTTAAAAGTATGTCCCATACTTCACAAGTACGTATAAAATAGTATAAAATAATTGTAATGCTACATTGTTACTTTTAAAATTACAATAAACTAGATAATAGACTAGAGTACAGGGAGATTGAGATACTGTCGACACTCGATGACAAATATGTTGTTAAATACTATGATTCGTGGCTGGAGTCCGACTCTCAAGGAACTGGAGGGCCGTCAGTATTATACATACAGATGGAGTTATGTTCATCCAATTTGTGTGATGTGACCATGGTCAAAAAGACCTGTTTCGCATCGGTTAAGAATAAGAGTCTGGGTCATGTAGATTATTTTATATCATACCATTTATTTAAGGAGATTTTGGAGGCCGTGGATTACCTACATGGCCAGGCTATTATTCACCGGGATCTTAAACCGGAAAATATCATGGTACTTTTGAATTTGGCCACCAAACGGTGCATTAAGCTTGGTGATTATGGACTGGCCAAAATACAGAAATAGGGCTCCCAAACAAATACTCAGGGCGCCGGTACCAAAACATATATGGCACCTGAAGTTTCTAGCGATCGCTCATATAATACAAAGGCTGATGTCTATAGTATTGGCATTTTTGTGGAGGAGTTGTTTAACATTGATATTAATACGTGAGTTTTATAATCTAGTTTATTAATTAAGCTTGTAAAGTTTCTACACTATTAACCAAAATATTAAGATACATGTTATGTCACAAATAACATCATTATTATTATATTTTATGTTTTCATAATATTGCACAAAATTATTTGTCGTACCTTTTAAAAGAATGTGATATAATTACAATGATCAAATATTAGTTTAAAATGTTAACATGCTGTATATTTCCTACAATAGATCAACGAAATATCCCGGATTAAATGAGGTGGTTGCCGCTATGTTGATTTATTTATACAATAAACGGCCGAATTGCAGTGATATATTGACCATGATCAAACAACCTAATATAATGTATGACATTAGCCTGGTTAAGCGTGAGCTTAATAATGCTACTAAAGTAACGAGTACTGAGTTTTTGAATAATTATTTTGACTGTAAATTCAATGTTTAATAACGTAATTAATTGTTACATAAAAGATAAGATTTCAAAACATTAATTATAATGATTAGTAAAATAAAGGTACACAATGCTGCCACAAGTTGCAATCAGTGTGAAAAGTGTTAACTAGTGTTGAAATACTTTTACAAATTAATACATGACTCACAACACTAGTTTTTAGTTTATCATTATTAACAGCATATTCCTCACCGGTTGATACACATTTCACCTTGAACACATCTCCGAAACCTCCTGATCCAATTTTACGTAGCATCTCAAATGACTTTTTATAATGATCAACATTAACCTTTATAGACCATTTGGAAATATATTTTAAATAATTTTTGAAGAATGGTTTCCCATTCTGTACGCCATAATAATCATCATTAAGTGTGCGATCAATATATCGTTTATCTCTTTCACTCTCATCTCTACATCTAATTTGTGTCTCAATCGCATCAATACTCTCTAATATGTCCCGAAATTTGGGATCATTTGCAACAATATTTTTATCGATAGACCACTCGTTATATTTAGCCAACACTTCACGACAGTCCGGCCTATTATGCCATCTCCGATGCATCATTTTATCCAACATTTCAATCAGATTATAAACAGGGCCCTTTAAATTGTTATGAATAGTTGAATAATCATGATCACTAAAACATTTGAAGAATAATTTACAATCTTAATTTAAAAATAAATTTTAAATTCATAAATTAGTCAGTTACTTTTCTAGATCGATAAAAACGTTCAGGCTGAATATAAATATCTATAAATATAAATATAAATATTTATCTCCACCAATGAGGGCCAACCCATATATATCAGATTTATGATCGTATTTTTTGCCATGAGCAACTTCTGGTGCCCTGTACTTGGTAGTTCCCACGTTTATTGAATGCTTATTATCTGTCAAGTTATGGATTCTGCTGTTGTGTTCTGTAACTAAACCGAAATCACATAACTTTACGAATCGTCCGTTCAGTATATTGTCGGCGATTAATATATTGTCGGGTTTGAGGTCTCTGTGAATATATCCCAATTCATGTAAATATTTAACACATTCTAAAACTTCTCTAAATATTTCACACGAAATGAAATATTCGTATGAATTCATGGTTTCGTTTGGCAATCGTTTGAATACTTGTGGTTTTATCTGAAGAATATTTGTTAAATTTTGTGAACACATCTCGAGCTGAATGTAAACGATAT